AACTATGGCTCCTCTAACTCATCTCCCGGATCTCTGTTTTATTTGAGAATTCATCAGTAGACTGGTATAAGCAAGTTTCTCAAAAAAGCGGTTCATGCAACCTCACCAGTCTCTTCAACTGCAAATTCCTGAGTTTTGTCTCCACCTGAGAACTAAGAATCCAAAGGTTTGATGGCCAAAGAATCATCATAATCAGCAAGCAATCCACTTGATTACATGAATATAAATACCCTATCTTTTGGTTTGCCATTTTAATTACAAATACTACCTAAAAGATGAAGTGGACTTTGCATAGCAGAACTAACAACAGTGAAACATTTTTAAAATATTGTATACATAGATTTAGAAAGAATGCCGAGCACCAGATAGTAAATTCTGATGAGAAAAGTTAGTTTGGTAAGCAAAATTGGCTTTGGAAAAAATTGAGGTTTCCAGTGTAAAGTCAATGGTGTCCAATTATTTTTTGCAAGCTTTATGTTTTCTTGCAATTCCACATCCCACCACCAGTGGGCCTTTCTCCTTTAAGAGCTATCTTACCTAATGCTAACCAGTTTTATAAAAAGTCTCTTTTTTGTGTGTGTGTGGGGGGGCCTGAACTCTGGGCCTGGGCACTGTCCCTCAGCTCTTCAGCTCAAGGCTAGTGATCTACCACTGGAGCCACAGCGCCACTTCCGGCTTTTTTCTTTTTCCTTATGTGGTTCTGAAGAATCAAACCCAGGGCCTCAGGCATGCAAGGCAAGCGCTCTACCACTGAGCCACCTTCCCAGCCCCTAAAAAGTCTCATATATGTGAATCTTGCCAAATTTGTAGTTGGAAAGTGAAATATATATATTTATTTATTTATTTATTTATATACATGTATATATATGTGTGTGTGTGTGTGCAACGTTTATTATTGAAAGTGAAAGTTAAGCATAGGCTCTTCCTAGAAAAGGGCCCAGGGAGCTGGGAGTCCAAAGAAATGTCCCATGGATGTGTCCTTTATAATTTACTAATTCTCCTACCCAAGGACATAATTGGTCAATGAGGACCCATGAGTGGACTTGGGTTCCTTCTTGTTTCCTCCCATTTAGAATCAGTGTAGAAGTCAGGTAATAAGTGGATATTTTTTTTATCCACTTATTCATTCATCCATCCAAGATCAAGATATATATCACTGAATGTCAAGTAATGAAGTAAGAAAATGAATAAGACATGAACTATACTTTAAAGAAACTATCCAAAACTTTTGTAGCCTATCCTTTCAGAACTGGGGTATTAAAAAGCCTACCCAAGCATTATTTAATTCTCTAGAAGAATGTATCCATGCTCGAGCTCCTTACTGTTAGTAAGGGCTCAGAATTTATGAAGCGCCACGTTACCGTATAGTCTACAAGCAACTAGGGTGAAAAGACACAGATGCTGCCAAACACTAGACAACATGGAATTCTCCTTACAACAAATAATCCTCTGGTCCAAAAAGTCAATAGCACTGAGATTGAGAAACTCTGTTCCAAAGAGATCAAAAGACACTTATCTGGGAAATCAAAAAAACTTTGCCCTTCTGATGATAGCAGCTTTAGTAGTTGGTGTAGTGGGTTAAGCAGGTGGAAAGCTGCCTGGGAGGAGCCTGAGAGGGGAGGCTGAGTTAATGGGAAGTTTATTTATGTAGAACACTCTGATGACAGAGTTTTAAAAGTACTTGAATTAGGTGTATGATACTTTTGAAGCAACAACTTAAGCTACAGTAGAACTGTATTATTTTACAGTTTCTATTTCTTAAAAGGGGGAGAAAATAATAGTGCCTACTTATAAGCATTTTGTCTCCAGATGGAATCTCACAAGTAAGATATTTTTTGAAAATCCTTTAAGTTACTGTTAAGTCACTCTCTGCGGTCTTACTGAATTTCTGTGTGCAAATATTCAAATTTATTCGTCAGTTAATGTCTCTATTAAGTAGGACACTTCTTGTACTGTGAATGACTGAATTTGCATTATAGAAAGGTTCCTTCTAGTGTCTACTGTTTGAGAAATGAGATGTTTCTGATGCCAAGAGAGGAGGTAAGTATGAGGTCATTATTGTTAGAATTGTCTTATTTTTAAAGGAGTATTGGAAGGCTGTTTTGCCTTATGTGAGAACATCAAAGAGCCCTGTGCCTAAAAGGATGATATTTCCCTTGGTATTGCTGGAAATCTAGTAGAGCCTGTGGATTTTCTCTTGTCCTTGGATAATGGATAGCTGGTAAGGACATGTCTACCTTATCTGTCCACTTGAGATCAATTAGTCAAGGCCATAACAACAGATAAGTTATTAAATAAATGTGGTGCAATGCCTGCCTAGCAAATGTGATATGCCAGAAAAAAATCATAATTATGTAGGTACACAATATAAATTGCCTACTTGCTTTATAAAACAGGCTTTCTGCTAAAATCATTAGATTTTAGATAAAACCCACTATCATTTTTTTCTAGATTTGCTTCTCTGAATGAGAGTCCAACTATATCATAATTATAGTTTTAACAATGATTAATGTACCTTTGTTGTGACTGTAAATTCATTCACCAAATATATTTATATACCAAGAGTTTTGTTTTGTTCTGTTCTGGGTTGATGTCCTGAGCAATTTCTTGAACAAGATCTCCTCCTAAGAATATAATCACCTTTTCCATAGTCTGAGGAAAGGATGCCTAGAAAACTGCTAACACTTAACTTTTTCCGAAGAATATTACACAAAATTGACTTAATACTCAAGACCAAAATGAAATGTTTTGTTCTTATTCAAAATAAACTAGTTATATTAACTAGTTTTACTCATATGTATTCCAACAACATTTTGTCTGATAAATGTTCAACTTTTTAAATGTTTCAACTATGAAAGTGACCTTGGCTTGTGGCCATGACATACACACACAGTCAAGGATGTCCTTGACCATTCTTTCTCATGATGAAAGAATGAGGGAGGGCGATACTCACTCTTCTCTCTTAGTATGTTTAACTCCACTTAACGGCGTATCCATGACCATACTTTGAGAAGGCTTCCAAACATCAGTATAAAAATGCAACTTAAAAACTCTTCTGCAATCTCTGAAGACACTTCATTCTTTTGTTGAAACAATCTGGAAAAATTGCTGATAACCACTGAGCAAGGTTAGTATCCATTAGGCAAAGTACTGGCTATGCCTGAGAATGACTGTTTACTCATTGAACAAAAGCGACTTTACTAACAAGATAGAAAGCTTCTAATATGAAATCTATAGCTTAATGAGGTAGCTATATTTTTAGTCAATTGACTCAACTTTGAATTGCTAAATAATATTATAGAGATTGCTAATTTGTTGTTTGTACAAGTCTTTCTAAAATACTTTATTCTTTGGCTTCAGGAATACTGAGCTAACCATTCTATATATTCAAATGATTAATAATTTGATGCACTAAGCAGCCTTATAAAAGTATTTATTAAATGTATCTTTGTAGTTTTTCCAAGAAAGCACTTTCCTTGGAAAGACCATTTTATTCAGTTATCTCCAGAAGTTATTCTTTTGTAAATTTCTTGTGGCTTAGAGATCTTAAAAAAAAAAGTGAACAACTATTTACACTAGACATAGTGCTATTTTCCCTCTTTTCCCCAAAGTGTATTTCTTCCCTAACTTGAGCCTGGTGGGCACAGTAATCTTATAGATAGTAAGCCACTAGGGCTACCCTTCATGATAGTATGTTTGCAAACCATAAGACAGGAATGAGTGAAAGTAGTTCTCAGAAAGGGCGTCTTTCAAACCAGAGAAAAAGGTTAAGCATTAAATTGCTCTACTTTTGTGTGTGTGTGGTACACAAGGCCTCACAAATCTGAGCCATACCCCAGCACCTTTTCTCTCTACTCTTAATAAAATGACAGTGGCTAGGCTTCAATATTGCTTTCTTATAAGCTAGAAGATGGGGCTGAAAGTGTGCCAACCTAATGAGCATTGATATCCTAAATTCAAACCTCAGTACTGCCAAAAACAAAACAAAAATCACAGTAAAAAGTAAGCCTTATAAAAATAAACCAAGATCCTCAAAGCTCTGTTAGTAAATAGAAGCCTATGTATTATACAATTCATCTGATTCCTTAGAGAATCTTGATAAATAGAATAGGAATATAATCATTTTTGTCAGGAAATTGATGACTAATTTAGTGACTAAGTTCTATATAAACTTAAGTCTAATCCAGTAATGCTGGAGTATGTGAACAGTGTTTTTTATTTTTAACAGAATTTATTTGCCAAATTATACAAACTACAATAAGTGAAATTGTGAATCTGAACACCAGCCAAAGGAAAAGATGGTGGTTTTTAGTAGATGTTTGCTTGTTAAAAAGGAACATAAAAATCCCTGTATTCATGTATGAAATGTCACAACGTGCAATATGTAGTAATAAAAAAGATTTTAAAAGGAGCGGTAAGGGAACAAATTTATACTGTTTCGAAATCCTTAGAAGGCAGTCCAAAAGGGTTTTAGTCTCTTGTCGGTGCATGCCATGGACACACTCTTAAAATCAGTAAGCAAATTCAAGTGACGAAAATCGTAGAAACAAGGCTCTCTAATGATAATCAAGATGAAGAAGAAGAACCACCGCCAAGCCACGGTCCAGTTCAGGACCAAAGGGGAATGAGTTGCAGGGCAGTGGAGCTGGCCGGCGGGCAGGACCGATCATTTTGCCCTCGGGGTGCCACCTGCCTCGGGCGTGCCGCGGGCCGCGCCGAGCCGGGGCAGGCGGGCCGGCCCCCGGGCGGCGGGCTCGGGGGGCGCGGGGCGCGGGCCCGGCGCGGCGGGGGAGGGGCCGGCGCGGAGGCGGCGGCGGAGCCACCGGGGCCGGCGCGGGCCAGCCACGGGGGAGCCAGCTTCTCTCTTCGGGTGGCCAGGCTGCGGGGTGCGCGTCCCGGGGAGCCCTCGTCCCCGCCGCAGCGGGCGTGAGCCGCGGTCGCCCGGCCGGCTCCGCCCCTCGAGCCTCCGCCCTCCGGGTCAGGACGCGGCGGCCGCGGCGCCGGACCTGTGGGCCCGCGGGCTCTCGGGATAGAGCCTGCTGCGTCCGCCGCTTCCGGATCGCCCGCGGGTCCCGGTGCGGGATCCCCGGTCCCCCACGGCCGAGGACTCCGCCCAGCAAACACAGGTGCGTACGGACGAGAGGAGGGGGCGACGGGGACGGCGGGAGGCCATCGCGGCGGCGGGCGCGCTGGAGGCGGAGGAAGCACTTCCGGGGGCGGTAGCTGCGCTTCCGGGTCGCGGCCGCACCGCGAGGTGTCGGGGCGCTCGGGCACGGCCGCGTGCTTCCCGCGCCAGAGGCCCCGCCCGCCGGGGGAGCCGCACCCCGGGCGTCGCGCGGGGCTGTCCACGCTGGACGCCCCTTCTCCTCGGGCCGCGGGGAGGGGGGGCAGGGGCTGGCGGCACCCCTTAGCCTGGCGGGTCGTGGCGAACCCCGAAGTTTCCGCGGGCATCCGGGTCCTCTCCGCCGCCTCGCCCGGTTCACGGACCCGGCCCAGAATTGACAGTACATGACGGGACAGCTGACCAAAGACGGCTCGTCGCCGGAGTGTCGGCGTCTCTGGGTCCCCGCCCAGGGTGCCAGGCGGTTCCTGGGGAAGGCGAGCCCAGCTTGCCCGCCACCCGGCTTCTTGACACGCAGAACGAACTCACGAACTCGCTCGTTCCCCGGGTTGTCGGTGAGGCCCGACCGCCGACGATGAACGGACGCGGGCGGGCTGGGAGCCGCAGTGGTCAGCCCAGCACCACTTCCACACCCAAAACTGGAACCCGACAGCGCCAGATCGGTTTTCTTCAGATTGCATTTTCGGGATCGAGCTTTCTTGGAGGCCAACGATTGGATTGACTGCATTAGAATTTGCCTTTCTGTGTTCTGCACCTCTGTCCATCACCTTTGGTTATCGATTACGCCTGGTGTTTTAGATGACTAAAATTTACATTTAAATAACATCTGTCACTTTCCCTGGCTGCAGCTGCCTTAGAGATCAAGAATTGTGGCAGAAATACCATGTATTTGATCACTAAAACGTCAGAGTTATAAGATCTGCCCAATAGAAATTTTAATTACTGTATTGTTAGACCATAGTTCAGGTGTGTGCTACCAATATGGTCACTAAGAGTGTATGAACTAAATTTCATACAACCTTTAAAATTATATTACAGGCAAGCAACTGTTCTAAATTATTACTTTTATGCTTCATTTTTTAACGTGTCATGTTTCAAATTATTGGTAGAAAAGCACCTTCGTTTTATACTGATAGAAGAGTCAAATAGTTTGAGCTACTGATTCTAGTCCTTGTTGATTCTCGTGTCCTTGTTGATTCTTTTTGAGTCTTCCAAATACAGCTAAATGCACCATGGGAGTTAGAAGGGTAACTTCTCACTTCCTTCTTAGATGACCCTCTAGGTAAATAACTTGACAGCTGTGTGCTTCAGTTTGCTTCTCTGCAAAATCATTTTGACCTTCCTCAAAGAGATAATGTAGAACTGTTATAATTCCTAAAGAAAGGCCAAACAAAAAATTGTTTCTCACATGTTTAAACCTGATTCTGCCTCAGACATAGTCTTTTCTCCTAAGTAGCTTTTGCAGTTCTGTTTAATAAATGAATATTTTCAAACCAGTCTATGTAACTTATGTGAGGTTCAAAGTTGGCACCTAGTAGGAATGGGACAAAGAAAGCACTCAGTATAGGTAGATTTTTAAAAAAAATAGATGCCTAGATTAGCAGATGGCATCCTACATTAATCTGTGTGTGTGTGTGTGTGTGTGTGTGTGTGTGTGTGTGTGTGTGTGTGTGTGTGTGTGTATTTTGCTTGGGATCTAGCTCTGGACTTCACACATGCTGAAGGATATCTCTACCATTGAGTTGTATCCCTGCCTGAATGTGTTTATCAACCAAAACCAAGGGACTGGGGAGGGGACCAAAACTGAAGATGATTAAGTTTAAATGATGATTATTGGCATACACCGTAGGCATATGGTGACTTTTCTTATCTCTTTTTGTGTGTGATAATCTCAAGATAATTTATTTTGTGATATAGTATACTGTTTTGTGGAAATGAAGCCATTAATAATTACCTAGAACTTTAGTTTGGATTTACAGATTGATTGGGATCTGTTGCTGGCATATTTCCTGTATGGATGCAAGTGGGCACATGGTTAGGTTTACTGTTCCCAGTTCTCCAATCAGTAAAATTATTTTTTAGTTAAAAAAAAAATGCTGGGGCTGGGAAGGTGGCTCAGTGGTAGAGCGCTTGCCTTGCATGCATGAGGCCCTGGGTTGGATTCCTCAGCACCACATAAGAACAAAGAAAAAAGCCGGAAGTGGTGCTGTGGCTCAAGTGCTAGCCTTGAGCTGAAGGTGCTGAGGGACAGTGCCCAGGCCCATAGTTCAGGCCCCACGACCAGACCCAAAAAGAAAAAAAAAAATCCAAGCAAAATATCCAAGGTCAGGCAAGCCAGATTAAACAACAAGCCTGTCTGTGGTTTAAGAGAAATGACTGTTAAACCTCTGTAGGATTTCAAAAACATCTGAGGTAATTTCTAGATTATTTTACCACCAGTCCTTCTTATTAACAATTCAGTTTGCAATAAATTAGCATATCCAAGTAGGATTATTCCTTCAGTTCCTGCATACGGTGTAGGATAATAGGAATCTAAAGAGAGACATTCTTTTAAGCAGACTTCTCAGAAATAGATTTTGATGCTTATTTTTTTCAAACTTTATTCCATAGAACATGTAAAAATTTACATTTAGTTGCCTAGTTACTGTGTAGGAAAAATTAATGCTTTGGCAGAATATGTGGAATCTTAGGACATAAGCCATAAGAAGCCAAGTTTCAAGTATACAACCCAATTCAAAATTTACATCTTTCCAATACTTTTTTGTCCCAGTTCTCACAAGCTGTTGTTTTTCTTCCTATTTAGCACAAGATACAAAGAGAGCTTTCTTAAACTCCTACCACAGTATCTACCCACCTACCTGACTAGTCGCACAACTGCCCTTTCATTACAATGAATGAATGAATGGTTTGTGTTCTCACAAACTCACAGGTCATACTGTGCGCTCCAGTCCATTGCTTTTGCCTTCTCTAGTTCATACTGTATAGTTCTCTACTATTTCTTCTACATCACCAGATTTTTCTTTATTGGATTTTTGTTGGCAAACAAAAATGCTATTATTGATCTTTTGGTACCATTTCTTCAGATAATTATGGCACCATTGTTCTTCTCCCTGTTTGGTTTCTATGTGCTCATTTGTCCTTTTTTTACCTTCGTTTGACTAAGTGAATGACTTTAGTATTCCATTTTTATTTCCTCTGCTTGCTGACCTATAATTTTTGTCTTTATTTAGTGGTTACTGTAGGGCCTTTATCTTTTTCTCTTTTCTTTTTTAGTGAGTACTCCTTGGTTTACAATTATGCATCTTTAAGTTAATATCATTACTCTTCATTGTAATCTAAATAAGACATAAATAGTATAAATATTTTCATCCCTTTCTCATATTTTGGGCTATTGTCATCCTTTTTCTACATGTTATAAACTTTGTGGTGTGTTCTTAGCATCTTTACTAAACAAATACTTTGCAAAGAGATTTTAAAGTGAGAAAAGTGGGCTTATATTTACCTACCTACATATTTGCCTCCAATTGAGAGCCTGTAGGATTATAGTACTCATTTTTTTTCCCTTTTATTGGTGCCATTGGTAGCAGTAGTTTAGGTAGCCCTGAACTACTTACTGTCTTTTAGAAAGTTTCAGGAAAAACAAAGATACTGGTCTTCTTTACCCTTTGTGTATGTCTAAAGTTTCTAATTGTTATTGTTTACCTTTTGCTTGAAAAACTAACATTTCTGATACTACAGGTATGTTGGTTAGGAATTCTTAGTATTTCTTTATCTAAAAAAGAAATAATTATTTTACCTTCACTGAGTACAGAAACGGAAGTGAAAGTTTCTTCCAAGCTTTTCTTGCTTGACCAGTCCCCTGAGACCACCTGCAGTAATCTTATTCTTTCTTTATGTATAATGTGTCCTTTTATTCTTCTGGCTTCTTTAACAATGTCTCTTTATCATTGATTTTTATTGTTCTAATAATATTGTACCTTGGTTTCGCTTTCTTATTCTGTCTCACTTAGGTTGACTTTCTTGGATGTATCGCTTTATACTTTTTGTTGAATTTGGGGATGTTTCTGTTTTCCTTTCTAACTCCATCCACTTTTTTAAACTACTTAGTATTGCCCTATAAGCAATGCTTGTTTTGTATTTTCCTCTGCATTCTTCATCTGGGATAATTTTTATTGCTCTATCTTCAGATTTGTTGATTTTTGGTTGTCTTGCCATTAATTTTCTACTTTTAATCAAGTTTATTAAAAGAAATTCTAAGTATTTTATTTTTCTTTGCAGAACTTCTGTTTGCTTCAGCTTAATACTGAAGACTTGGTAAGTCTAAGAAATCCAGCACATTGTGTAATAACATCAGAAAAAGTTAAGAATAACTTTAATTCTTAAATAATTTTCTCAGAAATTTAATTTTGCTTTTATAAACATAAGCATAAGTTTATAAACATAAACTTCATAAACATAAGTGAAGGATAAATTTCCTATTAGGTATGCAGAATACAAACTGAATTAAAAGTTATTTTATACTAGATTTCATTAATATCCTTAAAGAAACTACTGTCATTGGATTACATTTTTTTTTTTTTTTTTGTCAGTTGTGGGTCCTGAACTCTGGGTCTGGGGCACTGTCCCTCAGCTCTTCAGCTCAAGGCTAGCCCTCCTTGACTAGAACCACAGTGCCACTTCCAGCTTTTTCTGCTTATGTGGTACTGAGGAATCAGACCCAGGGCCTCATGTATTTGAGGCAAGCACTCTACCACGGAGCCACCTTCCGAGCCCTGGATCACATATTTTATCGAGATGCTGACTTACAATATACTTTAGCTTACAGATCATGTTAAATTGACTTTCATTAATTGAAAAACACTAATATTGCTCTTGGACAAAGTCAAGAAAAAACATTCACTTACATTTATGCTTTTGATTTTAGAAATAAAAGACAAGAAATGCCTCATTCCACAAGCAAAGAACTGGTACTTGGCATCATGGTAGGAACTGCTGGAATCAGTCTGCTGGTTTTGTGGTACCACAAGGTCCATAAACCAAGAGCAGCAATGAGTTTACCTACATTTCTTTCTCTGGGGAACTCATTTGAGTCAATCACATTTCAAGATGGAAAGTGTAATGATGAAGGAACAATAATGATCTTTCAAAGAAGGCAACTTCAAATTCTGGAGAAACTCAATGAATTACTGACAAATGTGGAAGAACTTAAGGAAGATATCAGATTTCTTAAAGAAACTATCCCAAAGTTGGAAGAATATATACAAGATGAACTTGGAGGAAAGATTACAGTTCATAAGACAAGCCCTCAGCACAGAACTAGAAAGAGAAAGCCCACAACTGTTCAGCCATCAGCAACAAGTAATAGTTCAGAAGAAGCAGAAAGCGAAGGAGGGTAAGTTTCCGTATTTCCCATGTGGAATTGGTTATTTATTGCATTATTGCTATTATTTAGTTTTATGTATGTCTATTTTGCTATGAATAAGAAATGAAAATGAATGATTATTTTGACTTAGATGATAATAAAACCTTGCTCAATATCGTCTATGCTAGATTATTTTTAGACCACATTAATGAAAGGAACATTAGTGAATAGTGGTAAGTGGTGTTATATAAATAATTAGCAGTCACTAATTGCTAATTAATAATTATTTTTATGTGGTCCCTAAATGACCTCTTATATAGGAACTCCCTAAACCAATACTGTCAAATAGAATTTACTGTGATGATGGAAATAGGCTACGTCAATGTTACCTTAGTGTAGTAGTACCCACTAACCATTTGTGGCTGGGTCTTAAACACTGAAAAATGAGGATGGTACAACTGAGGCAGTGAATGATTTTGTATTCTATTTCATTGTAATTAGAGTTTTACTTAATATTAAGTAAATTTAAATAGCTACTGGGGGCTAGTAGATATTGAATGTGCAGGTCTCAAAAGATTTGAGAAAATGTAAGTTTCAAACTTATATGGATTAATTCGTTGAATTCTAACACAAAGAACATGTAATTGTTTTTTCAGGTAAAAACACCATATGAAATAAGAAATCGTTTCTGACTAGTATTTTTTGGAGAGCAAAATAGACTGGTTAAAAAAAATAAAAGCACTAGTGAATATATTATGTAAGCTGAACTTCTTGAAGGCAAGAACCTTGTATCTTCAATCTGAGATTCCTAATGGCTTAGTTCTATGCCCTGAACAGAGTAGTTAATATTACTTTCATGAATGATCATCTGCAAAGTTTCCATGGAATTGGGAGGAAGTATTTGGAGGAAAGATATAATAAAGAGTAAGGATAAAAGGGTAATTGCATAAAGAAATATAAGTACTTGGTCATAAGTCTTAGAGCTCACTGCTAGGACTAGAATTGTTAGGCACCTTTTTCATGACCTCCAGGGATAAGATATAATCCCCAAGGATTAGCTTTCAGTGACCTACTTCCTCCAACTATTCCCTACTTTCTAAAATTTCCAGAATCTCCCAAAATAACACCATCAGTTGGGGCAAAACCTTCCATTCATGCACGTATTTGAGAGACACTTAATATCCAAACCATAATATCCAAACTATATCCATATGTTACTAAATCATACTTCAAAGGTACGAATTCATATGTAAGATAATTCTTTTTTAATGTTTTTTTATTATTATTATAAAGGTGATATTCAGAGGGCTTACAGTTACTTAGTCAGGTAATGAGTACATTTATTTTTGGACACTGTCACTCCTTCCCTTGCTGTTACCCAGTTTTTCCTCCTGTCCCACAAGTTGTATAGTTCATTCTCAAGATAGTGGCTAGTCAGTACCACTGCTGCATTTGTATAAGAAAATTCTTACGTCGCCATACAAATTATTGTCAGCTGTTTGAATTTTAGCCAACATGATGGAGATTACTCATTAATTTCCAATTTACATTTCTTTTTCTTTCTTTTTTTTTTCTTTGCTGGTCCGAGGCCTGTACTACAGAGTTTCATGCCCTTGCTTAGCTTTTTTGATCACAATTGATATTCTGCCACTTGAGTCATGCCTCCAGTCCAGCCTTTTCTGATGGTTAGTTGGAGATGGACCCTTGCAGACTTTCTTCTCCAACTAGAAAGTAGCTAGGATTGTAGGTGTAAGCCCTGGCACCTGGAAATGTGAATTCCTTATTAGAAACTATAGTAAGATTGAGTATCTTCTAGTATATTTGCTAGTAGGTCTTCTCTTCTTTGCATCCCTTTAAAAATAAAAAGAGAGCTGGCTCATGCCTATAATCCTAGCTACTCAGGAGGCTGAGATCTGTGGATCATGGTTCAAAGCCAGCCTAGGAAGGAAGGTTCATGAGATTCTCATCTCCAGTTAGCCACAAAATAGCCAGAAGTAGAGTTGTGGTTCAAGTGGTAGATCTCTAGTCTTGAAGAACAAAAAAAAAAAAAAAACTTCAGGGACAGAACCTAGGCCCAAGACTGACAGGGGGGGGGGGGGGGGGGGAGGGAGGGAGGGAGATACAGAGAGACAGACAGACAAGACAGAGAGACAGATAGGCAAGAGAAAAAGGATATCACTAATTAGTTGAAGGTTTGGTTTTGTTTTTTGTTGTTTTTTGTTTTATCAGTCATGGGGCTTGAACTCTGGGCCTGAGCACTATCCCTGAGCTCTTCAGTTTAAGGCAAGCACTCTAACACTTGAGCCATAGCGCCACTTCAGTTTTCTGGTAGTTAATTGGAGATGAGTCTCATAGACTTTCCTGCCTGGGCTGGCTTAGAACCAGGATCCTCAGATTTCAGCCTCCTGAGTAGCTAAGATTATAGGTGTCAGCCACCGGTGCCCAGCCTGAAGTCTCTTTTATTCATTGAATATATGTCTACTCTGTGCCATGCACTGTCTGGACTTTTGGTTTATTGTGGAAAAAAAAAACCCTAAAGTTTGACAATTTTAACTTCTTTTTAAAGTAACAATATGTTAAAGAGATTTGCTCTAAGTGTCTTTTAACCAGAGCTCCACGGACCAAAGATAAAGCAACAAGTGCCAAGTTCCACTAGAGCCTCTTGAGAAGGACCTGCTAAGAGCTTGAAGCCACTGCCTGCATGAGACTTACCCACCTACAGCCCATGAAAGGAAACTGCTACAGGGTTGAGAGAACCATTTCCCCAGAGAAACTTGTTCATAGCTGAGCATCCCACTAGTATGTGTACAAAGCCCAGGTGCTGTAAGAATGGATATTACTGTATAAGCAGAATATACAATGTGGGAAGAGAAAAGAGAACATACTACATAGCCTTCTAAAACCATACTGACAATGGGTGGAGCTGAATGAACAAAGAAGACAATTGCTCAAAGTGGAAAAAGAACCAAAGGACAAAGTGTGACAGAAACCAAGGAACCACAAGGTTTCAAGAACAATAATGGAGGTCCTGGATTTTAGAATCACTCTTATCCTAGTTCCTTAGCTGTTAACTATGTATCAATCAATTCTTTAAACCTGAATTGATTTATCTTAAAATGTAGTTAATAATGCATGTCTTATTTTGCTTCATCTTAAGTGGGATGATACCAAAGGTGCTTTATGTTGTGCCTAATCTGTAATAAATTATTTAAAACAAGTGTTTTTAATCAATAAGGAAGTGATCAAATGGAATAAATGCCCTAGAATAGAGATAGAAAAACATTTCATATAATAATTATAGACATGGAAGAATATACTTCAAACTGGGCTGGGAAAGGGAAGCACAGTTAATATTTTCTAATAATTCTGTTAATCTCATCATTAGCTAAGTGTAAGATGAAGAAGAGTGACATAACGATCTCCATAATCAGTGCATGTAGCTTGACAACCAGATGGCATGCATTATTTTCATTGTGGAAGAAGCTGTTGGGGCGGGGAGGTAGGAAATGACACTTGTTACTAAAATTTTGTCCTCATTTCAATATATCTTTAGACCAAAGTCTGTAACAATCCTCTTCCATGTCTCTAGAGGATATAAAAACCTGGAATAAAGAACATTCAAGTGAAAGATGAATGAAACAAACTGCTGGTTTAAAAAAAAAAAAAAAGACAATCCTAAGGAAATAACTGAGCAATTGTCATGCATTTTATTGGCCCTCATCCAGTGGGATTTTTTTTTTTACCTTTGGTTTGTTGGCTAACTTCTTGAATGTATTGAAGTCAGAATATACATTCTACCACCACATGAATTGCAGCTTTCCAAAAGGTGAGCCACAGAACAATTTCATTCTAACCTGATGTCATTAGATTCTAGAGTGCTGTCATGGCATTCCGGGTTGTTGCCATGTTAATTCCACATGTAGCTTAAGTAATTCAGTCTTCTGACCTGTTCCACCTACACAAGGCATTTTATGGCTTAAGGATGATGGCCTAGAAGGGAAGACTTACTTTAGATTTAATTAAATATGGGAAAATGCTTAAGGTAAGTGTTTCAAAATAAAACAACAATAAAAAACACTTCATGTGTTTTGTGCCTCATATGGTAAAAGACACTGAAAACATTCATGAGCCAAGCTTTACTGCTTCCTTATTTCCAATAATAACTGGGTATATGGAATAGACTGTAATTTCATTGGAACATACTCCCAGAGAGATTACCCTTGACCCATGGTTAATATTTTAAAGTTCTATTAATAAGCTGAATTAGTTTAGTTAAGTCTTTTATATATAGTCATTTAATAGTTTCAAATAGATCATTATGGTTTGTTATCTTTAAACCTGGAAGTTCTGTTTTTCTTTCTGGGGATCTTTAACTCTGATGTCCTTTCTGATGTTTCCCTTTGTCTTTTGGTTTGCTTTTCTAAGTGATTCAGTTTCCTTCCCCAAGCTTTAATACAGTGGGCAGATGTTGTAAGCAGATTGAAATCATCTCCTACCTTTACATACATTCTTTTGGGTGCATCTGTGTGGCTCTCAGCTTCAGCTACCCTGTAGGCAATAAGGTCAATATTCATGCTGGTAAGGTGGGTAATTATTCATAGGAGACTTGGCAGGTCTCCTTTCTGCTTCCTATTTTTTTCCCTCACTTGAATGTTCTTTCACTCTAGCTGCTACAAAGAGGACCAGATTTTCCAACCAAAGCATACTGAAGATCAAGCCACTTCAGAACTTGACCATCATGAAGCCTCTTCTATTCCACAACCAACTATATCTCTTGGTCTTATAACATCTCGTCCTTCTGCAACATATAAAGTCCATTCACCCAAAAGAAGAAAATTCTCTTCTATATCAAATACATCTACTCCTTCATATTTCTCTGAAAAACGACAATCTTTATTTGCTAAATTTTATAAGAACCATTCTTCCCTTTCTCGGCAACAAAGTAGAGTTAACTTTGAGTTTCAAGAAGACATAAACTACAATGATAAAGACTTTTCCTCAGACACTTTTGGTACTGCCAAATCTGGAAGACGATTTTCTTCCCGTAAACTAAGTATAGTTTCCTGCTACAAGAGTTCCATTCTTTTTGATCCTCAATCAAGTAATCAGGACCTGTTAAATCTAAAAGAAATTGAACTCTTTTCTAAAATCCCAAGTAATCCTGAGATTCCAAAACGAAAAAGCTTCTCTGACCATGAATATATCCCTAAGCATGTCGTGAGTTTTGAGGCAAAAGTTCCCACTGCAACCCGTCGGAACTCCATTGATAGAACCTTCTTTCAACAAAGCATGGCATCTTTCTTTGCTCTTCCAACTGTTGTTTCCTCCTCCAATCAAGCAAGTAAAATTGCTGCTGATAGACAAGAAAGTGGTCTATTATATAGAAATGCAAAAGATTACCTTCATTCTGGGTTTCAAAGTCACACTAAAAGTTATTCTCCAGCTGTGATGCAACAGTCCTCTGAAAATATAATTCTTCCTTCCTTCCAAAATGTTGGATTTTCTTTGTCTTATGAAAATGCCAGTAGCTTTATTCAAAATCAAAATAATATCAACACAGACTTCATTGAAGAAGAAAACTCAGCTGACTCAGCTGAAGATGAAGACAACTGTTCATCTACTGAAGTTCATAAAACAAGGTCTCTTAGACTTTATCTTGTCTTAGAAAGGCAACTCATAAGTAGATGTCTTCCCATTTGTCACACTCCAAAGTCTGTAAGACATCATCATTTGCTTCTTTTGGAAATTTCCTTCCTACTCTTTGCTGCCTATTTGGAGAAACAAAAAGATTCCTATATTTTGGTCTGAATTTAAGTGCTATAGTTTGGAAAGTCAGTTTTGTGGCATTATTAGAATGTAGAAGCCAACAGCGTTTTCATGAGTTTCAGGATTTTTTCAAATTATAGTTTAGAGATTGGCTACCTACAGATTTCTAAGTGATACTGGTGATATATTGCCTGAAAATAGCATCAAACTTTAATGTATAAGTTGTGAAGGCATTACATTCTTTAAGAGTGTAGCACCTTCTTCTATCTTGCTTTAATCTTTAGAGGTCCATTCCTGCATAATCTTTAGCAATATATTGATCAGATCACACAATTTCACTTATATTGACCTTAATAGCTGTCTTTCTCATGCTAGACAGCCCACAAATGTTACCATTAATGTAAGAATCAAATTATAAGGAAACGATGTCATAATAATAGATGTATGTAGGATTTTTAACTTAATCATTTTATTTGCATTTATGTTATGCTGAATTAGTTTCCATGCCATAGTTTTTGTTTCTTCTGGAATATCTTTTTTCTGGACAGCTTCTTATGGTTTAGGAACAATTTGTTAGGTTTTCAGTAGGAAAACCTCAATGTGGTAGGGGTTGCGCAGGTAAGGGTTTATTCTACTCCTAGCTCTGTAAGAATGGTGATGCATCTTAAATGCTTTGTTCCCCACCTGGATATGGTCAATGGCCAGAGAATCTATGCCTAAACTCTTAAAGTTGAATCACTTGCATTTTTGGTACACCAAACAAAACTTCAGCACTAGGGCCACCAGCCTTATGTTCAAACCTGGTATTTAGCCTGGGCATGTTGCCTGGCTCCATTGTAATGCTTGTTTAAAGTGACATCTTTCAGATCCTCAGTAGCTTTTTGATATCAGTTACTCCATATCAGTTTCTCTTTGAACACAAAGTTTTGAACCTCTTCGCTTGATTGATTTTATGGAGTTTCCTGGGACAAGAAAGTAATGAACTATTTTTGCAAGATACCTCAACCATGTACAAAAACACCTTGAAAATGTTGTAAATCTTACATTTTTCAGTTGTAATGAAATTCACACAACATAAAGTTTATCACTGTAAAAATTTAAATGTACAGTTCAATGGCATTAAATACATTCATGTTGTTGTACAACCAGCAGGATCAATCATTGCCATAACTCTTATCATCCATTTAACAATAATCCTCTCAGTCTCTGCCAACCATCATTCTAGGTTTTTTTTTTTTTTTTTTTTAGTGCTGGTCCTGGGACACGTACTCAGGGTTATCCCTGAGCTCTTTTTCACTCTAGGTTAATGCTGTATAACTTGAGACACTGTTTTACTTCTGGCTTTTTGGTATGTAATTGGAGAGTCTCACAGACTTCCCTGTACCAACTCTCTTCTAACTGTAATCCTCGGATCTCAGCCTTGTGAGTAGCTAGGATTACATGCATGTGCCACCAACTCACTTTTTATGTTTTGTCTCTTATATGTGGAGTTGTATAGTTTCTGCTATTTTCTGTCTTATTTTACTTAATTATCTCCTTAAGATTCTCAAGATTGAGGTATTTCTTTACTATAAAAGTTATTCTCGGCCAGGCACTCGTGGCTCACACCTGTAATCCTAGCTACTCAGGTGGCAGGAAAATCCCTGAGACACTTATCTCCAATTAACCACCAGAAAATCAGAAGTGGAGCTGTGGCTCAAAGTGATAAAGTGCTAGCCTTGAGCAGAAAAGCTCAGGGACAGTGCCTAGAGCTTGAGTTCAAGCCCCATAACCACCACTAGTGAACAACAACTACAAAACAGGGTTATCCTCTTAGCAGCTGTGCCAGTAGCTCACACCTGTAATCCTGTCTACTCTGGAGGCTGAGATCTGAGGATCATAGTTAGAAGCTAGCTCTGGCAAGAAAGTCCAAGAGACTCTTATCTCCAATTAGTCACCAAAAAACTGAGAGTGGAACTGTGGTTCAACTGGTAGAACACTAGCCATGACCAAAGAAGCTCAGGGACAGCTCCTAGGCCCTGAGTTCCAGCCCCAGGACCAGAACACACACACACACACACACACACACACACACACACACAATTCCCTTAAGGTGTACTTAATTCATAATTGCTCATTTTTAAGTTGATTATTGGTGTTTATTATCAAGTTATAGTTCTTATAGTTATTCCTTTTAGACATATGTTTTACAAGTATTTTCTCATGTTCTATGGATTGTTTTTTTAGGAGTATTGCATCCTAATATTATTGTCTTTCAACTCATGAATGTAAGATTTATTTACCAGGTCTTTAATTTTAACAGTTTTTCATCTTTAGTTTCCTTGTGGGTTTTTTTTTGTTAACTATATTTCTAAAAATTGTATCACAAATGGAATTGTCTTCATTCATCTTTGAATTGTTCATTTGCAATATAGACAATTGATTTTGTATGTTGATTTTATATCCTGCAACCTTACACTGGCTCAGGTTGTGTAAGGCCTTTTAGACGATTGAAAGGGCTGAGATTTTTGCTCTGATTTGGGCATCTGTCGCAGGATTTTAAGTAAAGGAAGAACATGATCTGATGGAAGTTTTTGAAGGTTAATAATGGCTAATGTGTTAAGAAAAGACTATATGAATCATGGATTAAAGCCCAGGATACATGAAAGAGGCCGATGCATTAATCCAGATGAGTTGCTAATGGTGTAGTAAGATGGTGAAAAATGGCTAAATTCTGTATATATTCCCTAGATAGAACCAACAGAACTTGCTGATAAGACTGTATGTTGCTTAGAACACCATTCACCAACAGTTAGTGAATGTGTACAATATCTAGGCACTGTTCTGGGCACTTGATACTTATAGTGAAAGAGCATGTGTAGGAAATTAATAAATTTCATAGTAATATACTACATCATATTATGTTAAAGGGGGAAAATCTAGTATATCAGGAAATTAAAACTAAAGGCAGTGCGAGAGTTACGGCATTAAATACCATGGTCTGGATGGGGCCACACTCAGAAAAATGTTATTTGAGTACAAACTTGAAAGAATTAACAATATGGGTTACATGGCTGTCTAAGGGAACAGTGTGACACACATGCACACGCTCAAGATTAGAAGGTAGAGGTCCTGAGTAGGAGCATGACAGGCTTTACTAGACAAGCTGAATAAAGGTCAGAGAAGCATTCGTGTTATGGGCGGGGATATTGCACAAGGCCTGGTAGACTGTCAGACTTGAGCTTTTTCTCAGATAGCAGACACCCTTGCAATTTAACTTGCCTTTTTTAGAGAACCTGTTTGGCTGTTAATGTATCACTTCCAAAGGAGATGACAATTGTTCCTGCAATTTTAGGTATATGACAGCTAATACTGACACAGAAGAACAGAATTTTCCAGTGGCAAAAGCATTTAACACACATGTAGAGGAATTGAAGTTAGATGTTCTTCTGCAGAAGGCAGATCGTTTACGCTTGAATGAATCTGGCAAGATGGAAAGTTTTGAACTACTCTGTGATCACAAAGAAAAGGTAAGAGCAAGCCGGGTGCTGGTGGCTCACGCCTGTAATCCTAGCTACTCAGGAGGCTGAGATCTGAGGATCGCGGTTCAAAGCCAGCCCGGGCAGGAGAGACCGTGAGACTCCAATCTCCAATAAAAACCACCAGAAAACTGGAAGTGGTGCTGTAGCTCAAGTGGTAGAGCGCTAGCCTTGAGCTGAAGAGCTGAGGGACAGCGCCCAGGCCCAGAGTTCAAGCCCCACGACCGACAAAAAAAAAAAAAAAAAAAAGAAAAGGTAAGAGCAGTGTGACAGCAACATGTGCTTATAGCTTCTATTTTTGACTCAATCTAATATCCCGCTCATGTTGTAACCATGATGCTTGTGTCAACATTTCATATAAAGTACATGGGATTTTCTATAAATGATTAAAATATTTTAAAAGTATGCAAGAATTAATTAGATTTACCTGAAGTTTTAAAAATAGGAACCACATTTATAATTATACAGATTGACTTTTATTTTCTATTAGTTTGTGTATTTATTACCTATTTTATAACTGATAAAAAATAAGATATTATACCAAGGCATATTGTATGTTTTCTCTAGAGAGAAAGACAAATTTTTTTTAAATGTTGTTGTTGTTTGCCAGTCCTGGGGCTTGAACTCGGGGTCTGGGCTCTGTCCCTGAGCTACTCTGTGCTCAAGTGGTAGAGTACACAGCACTACTTCCAACTTTTTCTCAGTAATTTGTTGAAGATAAGAGTCTCATGGACTTTCATGCCCAGGCTAGCTTCAAACTGATATCCTTAGATCTCAGCCTCCTGAGCAGGTAAGATTACAGTGTGAGCCTGTAATTTTTTTTCAATGATCTTTAAGTAATGGTAAAAGACATTCTAGTTCAACATGTCAGTTTGTGAGTACAATGCATCAATGTCACCCCTTTCATCCTTCTCCTTCATCTCTCCTAACCCCAAGCTATTATGTTTTCTACATTATTATCAATAGAATAGCTATCATGGTATAAAAAGCCAAATTGGTCAATGGTCCTGACTTTAAAAACCCAACTCTAAGCACATTATCTAAAACCCAAGTATCCTGAGTTGGATAATACATAATATACAAATGTACCCAAACATCACATTCTGTACCAAGTAGATGTATAAGAATTATCTACCAATAAAATATTTTAAAACTTTAAAGATATCTAGGTTTATATTTAATTCAAGTAAAAAATATGACTAGAGCTGGGAAGGTGGCTCAGTGATAGAGTGCTTGCCTTGCATGCAGGAGGCCCTGGATTTGATTCCTCAGCATCACATAAGCAGAAAAAGCTGGAAGTGGTGCTGTGGCTCAAGTGGTAGAGCGCTAGCCTTGAGCTGAAGAGCTGAGGGACAGCACCCAGCCCCATAACGGACAAATATATATATATATATATAATTTAAAATAAAAAAATATGAGTATGACTACTCTTAAGCGTAGGGTCTTCAATGTATTGACATTAACTGAACTACTCATTCAGCTATTGAAAGTAGATAACTTAGGGAAATAAAGAGAATATTATCACTAGGAAGAATTGATTGATTCTAGCCTCTGTAATTTTCTCTTCTAACTAGTGGATTTAATGTCTAAATGATGTTAATTGATTTTAAGATCCAATCATAGCACTATGTTATGTCACATTTCTTACCTATGAATATTTAGATACTAGATATGTAAATATTCATAGACATGAATTCAGTCATCTATAAATACCAGTTGATCTGCTTATTATTAATAGTCATAGTACAAACAATTGTAGTCTGAACAAATTACTGAGTTAACCTAATATGTAATTCTATCTTTTCAGTTTAGAGATGAAATAGAGTTTATGTGGCGATTTGCCCGTGCTTATGGAGACATGTATGAGCTATCTACAGATACACAAGAAAAGAAACATTATGCTAATATTGGTAAGTAATTTGCCAAGATTGGTCATTCTTAAGTGGTAGTTGTGATCAATAGCAAACCATGAATGAATTTTAATTAAAAGCAGATTATCTTAGTTAAAATCAATTTTATGTTACCAGGTGCTTGTGGACTCATACACTAGCTTCTCAGAAAGCCAAGACCTAGAGGACTGTGGTATGAAGCCAGCCCAGACAGAAAAGTCTGTGAGACTCCATCTCCAGTTAACCAACAACAAAATGTTGGACTGGAGATGTTGGTCATGTGGTAGAGTACCAGCATGAGCAAGAAAGCTGAGGGACAGCATAAAATTCTGAGTTCATGACCCAGGGCCAGCTCTCTGTTTCACACACAGACACACACACACACACACACACACACACACACACACACACACACAGACACACACACACACACACTCACACACACCATATATAAATATATATATTGAACCTATTTCAGTATACCTTAATACCAAAAAATACACAGTCTAAGAGAAACTCCCTTTGGGATTAAATTTTTTTCAAAATTATTTAAGCATATTAAAGTAAGCAACTAAGTAAACTTAGACTTCACCTTTTAAAATTTAAAGAAATCACATCAAGATAAGACCCTCATAATATTTGAGAAATATTAATAGGCAGAGGACAGTTGTCTCCAGCATTAAACACCAAAATGTCTACTTCCTGTAGAACTTCAGGGACCACAAAATTCTACTGAACTAGAATTAACTTTGATTTGATTGTTGCTAAGCTGAATGAAGAAAGCATGGTGATCTTATACTTTCTGTTATCATACTTTGTTGTATGTTTTTGAAATTTTCCACAATAGCAATACAAAATAACCAGAAGGTAAAATTGTTAGTGGTAGTGGTATATATCTTTATTATTTTATTTTATTTTGTTTTTTTGAGACATGGCCATGTCATGGCTGTGAACTTGCAATCCTCTTGCCTTGCCTTCCCTTCCCGAATGCTAATAGTAGTATAGGAATGCACCATCATATCTAGCAATTGTGTTTTTATTTCATCTTGATTCTCACTCAATCACGTCAAAAATGCCCTCTTACAAATTCTTCTAACTGCCATTTCTTCAAGCTTGTGCATTGTAAATTTTACCTCATAATTCCTTTTGTTCTCTCTTTAGTGGAAAGCCTTATCTTTTCCTAGTTTCCTTCTCAAAGATAAAATGAAGAAGAAACAGCAAGAGGAAATTCCTTCCAGTCTAGTTCTGTCATTTTTATTTCCATGAAGGATGTGTTACCAAACTATTTGCAATATTCCTTCTTCTACTCGATATTTCCTTGCTAAATGACCTCTACACTTTGACTTTTTTCCAAATAAGAGGAAAATAAGAGCACCTGCCCTCTTGTTCTGTTACATATCCATCATCAGCTTTCTCAGGCAGTTTTTGTAGGAGTGCAAATTGCAGACCATATGAAGTAGAATCCTAGAAGATAATTTTTATTAACATAAAGGAAAGTTAAAATGTGACCAAAGACAACAAAAGAATTTATCTACTTCTAATGAAAAATTTCAAGCATATCTATGTAAAAACTTTTTCTACTCACTCATATTAAATGCATTCCTTTTCTATATACTATCCTTCCCTGAGCTTTATGCTAGCAGGTAGGAATAGGACAGCAAAATTGACATGGTCTCAAAATTGACTATGTGGGACCATATAACTTTATGGGAAGGCAATATCATTTCATCATACAAACTGAAGTAAGCTATTATGAGAAAAAAGAGAAGGCCAGACATAGTGACTCAATCCCATGTATACAGGAAGCAGGATCACAGTTCAAGGTAGGCCCAGGCAAATGTTAGACCTCTCTCAATCAACAAGCCAAGTATCATAGCCCACATTTGTGGTCCCTGCTATAACAGAGATAGTAGGAGAAACTCAGGCTTCCCCAGAACCTGAGCAGAAACACAAGATTCTACCTAAAAACTAACCAAAGCATAAAAAGTCTGGGGATGTAGTCCAAGTGAGAGAACAGGTGCCCAGCAAGTAAGTTCAAACCCCGAGGTGAATAAAAATAAAAGGAAGACAGGAAAGATGGAAGACTTACTCAAAATTATTATTATGTCCAGGAACAATATTAAATGAGGGGTAAAGAGAAAGAAAAGAGAGGCAACGAAGGACAGATACATGATTAAGGTAGTACCATGCTAGGGAACTTTGATATGGAGCGACCAATAGAGACAGCCAATTAATTATTTAATTCAGTGTGTGAGGAGTATATGCTTAGTAAGGTCATGAACTAACCATGAAGCTAAGAATAGGACTCAGACCAACTATTGAAGAATGTTAGGATTGAGTGTGAGAGAGAAATGTTAAAGGTTTTTTTTTCTTCCATAATAGTGTGTTTTAAGAAAAGAATTGATCATTAGAAAAGATTTGATCACTAGCACAGTACTGTGAAGTATTCTGATTGACCATAACTTGTATTCCAAGTAAAATATAAATCTTATACTAAAAATGATGGAGTATAATTTTCATAATTAAGTGATTACATAATTAAGTGAATACTTCAAAAAGACTATAAAATGCTGTTGGAGCTGCATTAAGGAAGGCTATGAAACTAGTCTGCATTTTGCCCGCGTTCTATCAGAGCAAAGGCATCACCTCTGCATTGGGACACATTCTAGTGTGCTGAATGTTTGGTTCTTTGGAGAAAGCTGAAATGCTGCTGGAGTTTTTTATTTGTTGGAAACAAATCTTACTATAAAGACCAAGTGCTGGAATTGCAGCACCAAGCTTGATTTCGTTTTTATTGTTTTTACACTAAGGAGAATGTCTCTAATCATGAAAAAATGTCATACTCCTCTAATGTCTGACCACAATATAGTATCAATTGTCACTGAAATACTTTTAATTTTTTTTCAATTTGTCATTTCCTACATAAGATTGTTTTCTTTATGACTATAGTTTTATAAAGCTGCTTTAACCAAATGACAAATAGGAGAATGGTTTGGAAAAGAAAGAGCCTTATTTATAACAATTTATTTAAAACAATCATGTAGAAAGGCTTTTTTTGTATACCATTGAATGATCTCGTCAAGACAAAAAAAAAAATAGAATAGACAAGGAAAAAAGTATGAAACAAAATGGCCCCTTTTGAGAAAGCCTCCCATTATAGTCATAACATTATACAAACCTTTATCCAAAGTCATTACTGCATGAGTAAAAGCTACTCTGGAAGCTATTCTAAAACTTATTAGAAAAATTCTTACATCCCTGAGGTGAATAATTGGTTTGAAAGATTAGGCAAGAACTTCTCAGGGAGCCTTACTCCTTTGGACAGTTACTTGTGCTATGCTCTTTTTATACTTTGTTTCTTGGTTTGTTTTTTTTTTTTAATATGGATTACTTGTTTGTATACAGGCTATTTACTAAACTGTAAACACTTAGGTGCCAAGCTTGTGTTTTATTTTCAGATCTTCACATGATGTGGTACTTAGTAGGCACTCGGTAAATGTTACTGAGGTAACGATTGAATGACTTTTCTTGCATTTGACTAAATCAATCAGTTCATCCAGTTGGTCTCAGAGTCATTGGTTACTGAGCCCCACCCCCAAAGTAGGTGGTTCACTCATGTGGTGAAAATGTGCTTTTTCAAACAAGTTTCCAAGTGATATTAATGCTTTTCTTGGGACCACACTTTAGAAACCACTGGTTGAATTCAAGATTTATCTCCTACCAACTCAGATGAAGGTGATAAATGTAAATATATTTGTTTTTCAGGGAAAAGTTTAGGTGAACAAGCTATTAGTAAAGCACCTACAAATGGATACTGCCATCTGTGGTAAGTATTCAGGAATTATGTGGTCTTATAAATTCTAATGTGCCTCTTTAGGCACTGCAGTAGATTTTTAAAAATATGACTAATGCATTGAACTTGTCACCATATTCACTGAAAAATGTATTTAGTAGATACTACAGCTACTGTTCTTGTTAAGTTTATTTGCTAGGCGTATTTTAAATGTATTTTTATTCATTGAATAGTTCATGAACTATTCAATGAATAGTTCAAGTCTGATGGCTCTGAAGATAATTAAATGTAGTAAATATAACAATTTGTTTTAAAATGTTAAAATAATACCATGTTTCTAATCAAAGTGTAAAAAATATTAAGGAATAATTTATATGAGCCATTTTCTTCCAACTTGGTTAAGTCATGCGATACAAATTTTGAAAAAGAGCAAATTCAAGGGAAGAGCAAACAAATGATGATTATGGTTGGTTTTAGACCCTTTGTATATTGGAATTATAAAACACAAATAAAAAGAAACATTGTTTTAATTTATTAGTCTTCCTTTTACTTCTAGTCATGTGTTTACTTTTTTTATCCTTAATTATTTTTGTTGTTATTGTTCTTTTTTTCTCACCAATGACTTCAGGAAGATATGGTAATAAATTAATTCATGTCTCTCCTCAGCAATCTTCCCCTCTTCCCAATTACTTTATTCCCTGGGAACACTATTAGGCAAAACCTCTCTCAGAACAGCTCCTTCCTCATAGCTCCCCACTTGTTTCTCAGGAAACTCTGCTTTGTTCTGCTGAACTCTCAAGTGTAAATCATTTTCTCTTTTTTTTTTAAATAAGGTTTTTATTGTGAAAATACCGTACTGAGGGGTTACAATTACCTGAGCAAGATAATGAGGACATTTCTTGTCAAGCATTGTTGCCTCCTCCTTTGTTTTTCCCCTTCCATCCCTGCCCTCCCACCTCCACGACTACACCCACCACTCCCCACCCCACCCCAAAGTTGTAAAGTTCATTTTTCTACATAGCATCTTGTACATCTCATTGTTGCAATAGGTCCACCTGTATCCCTATTTAAACATTTTGTTTTTCCCTTCCCCTCCCCAAATTACACCAACATCAAGTACAGTGAAAACAGGGGTTATACCGTGGGAGAGAGACATACAAAGCAACAACAACAAAAAAATCACCCTATAAATACATTAGAAACAATAGCAAGAAAGAAAAAAACCCCTTGTGTCCTTATCTTGGGGTTCATTTTACCTAACATAATCATATCTGACCTTTTCTGCTTGTCTCAGAAATATACTAGTTATTGCAAATAAGGGAGACCATGGGACCTATGTTTCTTTGGGCCTGGCTTACTTCACTTAATATAATTTTTTTCAAGTCTTTCCATTTCCTAACAAATGGGGCAATGTCATTCTTTCTGATGGAGGCATAGAATTCCATTGTGTATATATACCACATTTTCTTGATCCATTCATCTACGGAGGGGCATCTGAGTTGGTTCCATATCTTAGCTATGGTAAATAATGCTGCAGTAAACATAGTTGTGCAAATCATTTTTTCCAAAGCAGACTTGTTTCTTTATTCTGCTATCACCAGGGGGAGCTACAGTTACAGGATTGCACCTAAAGGCAGGGATCCAGTAACATTTTGTATGGCTCCCAAATTCCAAACAGATGACAAAACATGAAAAGGTATTTAGATGGTAGAACCTGTGAATCATTTCCTTACATGCCATCTTGATTTAGGAACTGAAGCACGTAGTAGAGAAAATATTATTCTTAGAGTTGGTTTCTCTGTGAAAACTAGAAGAAAAAGGTACTTATGCAATTAACATATGGCACAGATTTGTTAAGTTCACTACTCTAATACATAAGGATCTTGGCTTTCATTTCTATAGCCAATTTTCCTAGATGTTTCATTTATATAATGCTAATACCTACTAATAAATTAATATCCTTATGTGTTAAGATAGCCCTTTTAGGGGTAATATTGAATTTATACTGAGAAAGCTATATTTCTACATCTCCTTTGAAATTGGAGGTATTGCAAAACTGTTCTGCTAGATTAGCATGCAGAAAGAATACCTATATTTTCTCTCCCTCTCCTACTTCCATTCTCTTTCTACTTTTCTTGCCTCTTCCTCTCCATCCTCCTCCTCAGTTGCTCTTCCTCTGCTTCCTCTTCCCCTCTTGTTCTCCTCCTTCTCCTCTGTATTCATCTGTATGCATGAAGAGTCACATTAAATATGTTCATCCTCAGTTTGAGGGCATTTATCAGTTCAGGATTTCAATTTTTACAAAAGAACAATACTAAATCTTCTCTAAGGACTTGTGTTTCATGAACTCCATCTTGTAAGCACTGATCATGCAAAACTCACCCTTAGTGGATTGCCTCGTCTCTCCACCACTAATCTCCTTTATCTGTTTTACTTTTTCTTGTGAATTAAATGCCTTGTTTCTAACAATGGGCTTTTGCAGTGAGAGGAAGTCTTCCAGAACATCCACAAAACAATGATCTAATTGTCTTTCACATGACTAATTAGTCATGATCAGTTTTTAATTAAAAATATATTAAAAACAAATCAATTAATAAATATTTAATGAATTTGAATGCCAGTTCAGTCTTGATTCTTGGAATAAATTGTATCTACTGAACACAAAAGTCCTCATTCAATTAAGTAATAGAGGTTTATGATTATAAAAAAAGAAACTTTGACTTGTAGGCAAACTGATTATATACTGAATTGTTAAGAAAATGGCAAGATCTTTTTTTAAAAAAAATATTTATTGTAAAGGTGATGAACAGGAGGATTACAGTTACATAAGTAAGGTAATGAGTACATTCTTTTTAAACACTGTTACCCCCTCCCTCATTTTCTCCCTCTTACTCTTCCCTACTTCCCTCCCCTCCAACTTGTATAGTTCATTTCCAACATAGTGTCAAGTGAGTATCATTGTTGCATTAGCTCATCCTTTGTCCTGCTGTTGCTGTGATTCCCTTTCCTTTCCAGGGATCAGATAAACTTAATAACAAGACAAGGGGTACAGAAAACTAAAACAGAAAAAAAAAGAAAAAACTGTATACAGGGCATAATAAGAACCTCTTGTTTCCAATTCGTAGACTTCATGTTGATACAATTCATTATATATGGTCCTATATACTTAGCAATTGGGGCTAAGAATGTCATAGACATATTCTAATTATTACAAATTAGGGAAACCATGCAACCTACTTTCCTTTGGGCCTGGCTTACTTCAAATGTCAGTATTTCTGATGGAAGCATAGAACTCCACTGTGTGTGTGTGTGTGTGTGTGTGTGTGTGTATCACATTTTCTTGATCCATTCATGTATTGAGGGACATCTGGGTTAGTTCCATATCTTAGTTATGGTAATAAATAATTCTGTAGTGAACATGGTTGTGCTGGTAGCATTAGTATGGCCTTGTTTGTGGTCATTTGGGTAAATGCCCAGGAGTGGGATTCCTGGGATAAGACAAGATCTTAACCTGTTGGAGTCCTTTTCAGTCCTTAAGATGGTAGTAAAACCTTTAATCATCATTCAGCATGAATGACAGACTATGGCTTGCAAGGCAAATCTATTTTGTCAATAAATATTTATTCGAAATAGCCACATCCATACATTTGTTCACAGCAACAGGATTGATCTGGTTTCAAAGCCTGAAATATTTATTATCTAATCCTGAAGCAAATTTTGCTTTCCTTATACTCATATAAACCCATGGTTTACAGAAATGTATGATGGTTTTATAAACCTTCACTTTGAAAGAGAAGATGTAATTGCTAAGGATAATTTTCATGAACAGTTAATTTTTGGAAACCATTTGAAAAACATTTTATCAGCATAAAATAGCAATTACCATTATCTTTTCCAAAATGAGATTGCTTTGCGATTTTAAAGCTGTGTAAGTTTCTAGAAGATTTTGTGGTTTTGTTGTACCAGTCTAAAATACTTCTGGAATCACGAGAATAAAGTTGATTTGCAGTTTGTTGCTCAAATAGGTCTGGCTTTAATTACAAATAATGTCTTACAGATTTGTTGTATTCTACTGTTTGCAAATTACATCCACATGCCTTCTAGCATGTGATTCAGAGAACAGCCTGTTTCGATTTTCTAAACAGAGTTAGGAAAGCACAAGTGTGTATATGTTGATCAGCAACCAGGGCCACACAATAAGTGGGAAAACAGAAACCAGAACCTAGATTTTGTTGTCCTATCTGCTCAGCCTTTGCTTTGTTACAGTAGGCTGCCACTGGTTTCTTACCATTAAAGACATGGAAAATGTTTCAGGGAAGGTGGAAGGTGGGCACTGATGACTCATGCCTATAATTCTACCTACTCAAGAGGCTGACATGTAAGGATCATGGTTCGAAGCTAGCCCAGGCAAGAAAGTCCATGACACTCTTATTTCCAGTTAGCTACCAAAAAGCCAAAAGTGAAGGTATGGCTCAAATTGTAGAGTACTAGCTTTGAGCAAGAAAGTTAGGAGACAGCTCCTAGGCCCTGAGTTCAAACCCTGGTAAAGGTACAATATATATGTGCTTATGTATGTATGTATGTATATATATGTGTAGATATTATTAAATATTTACATATACATATATTAGGGAAGCAGTTATTTTAGTATTTGTTGGAACAGTCCAGTTGTCAACTACAAAGGATTATTTCAATCAATGAAAGAAAATACTGAATTATTGTTAAAACATTTATAGTTACAACAGCCTCTGGATGGAAGTAATATCCCATATTGTGAACTAACTTTCTTTACATGAAGTCTGAGAAAATCTTAAAATATATTATAAATGAATAAAAATCATAGCACATACAGTTGATTGAAAGAGAAGAAATTACCTTTTGGGGAAGATTAACCAGGTGAGCTTTGAATTTATGATATGAACAATGATAAATATTTTAGATTTTAAAGGAACAGTCCCTTCCTTCCTTCCTTCCTTCCTTCTCTCTCTTTTTTTCTCTCTTTCCTTCTTTCTCTTTCTCTCTTTCTTTCTTTCTTTTTTTCTTTCTTTCCTTCTTTCCTCCTCCTTTCTTTTGCTCAGACTTAGGGCCTATATGCTGTCCTTTAGCTTTTTCACTCAAGGTTAGTGCTCTACTACTTGAGGCATAGCTCAGGTTAGTTATTAATTGAAGATAAGGGTCTCATGGACTTTCTTGCCTTTGCTAGTTTCAAACTGTGATCCTTAGATCTTAGCATCTTGAGTAGCTGGGACTACAGGCATGAGTAACCAGTGCCTGACTAAGAAGCAGATTTGTTTAATGATTATAAAAAACAAGACTAGTGACATTTTTATGATGATATTCAAGCTTTATTAAATGTTACAAATATTTGCTTATAAGAGACTTTAGAAAGCTACATATGTGTGTTTTGAATTATTAACTATATTAGCTCTACAAACTAAGGGGTTTGGTATGATATTTCTATATAATGTCCTTCAGTCATATTCACCCCCTCTATTACTCATTCTTCTCCTTCTTCCCTGTTCCCTCCTTTTAACTTGCTTGTAAACTTTTACATGTGTTTTGTTACAACATTCTTATGACATGCATATAATGTACTTGAATCATTTCTCCTCTACTCATACCTTCTCATTTCTCTATCCATCTCCTGCTGGTCCTTCTGCTAATAGTTCCTCTTTTATGTTCATGTCCTTTTTTTAAAAAAAAAGTCCAGATTCCACATATGAGAAAACACATACTGTTTGTCTTTGAGTCTAGTGACATTGTTTAAAATAAAAAACATATGTATTTCAAATAATGACATTTGTTATTCATAGAATTTCACTTCGTTTATAATTTTGCTTTTTTCACTCAATGACTTGGAGATAATACATAAGAAGTTCTGATTTTCAGACAATTGAAAAGTCAGTTCCATGACTTTGTGCTACCTATTCCTTTGATTGTAGCACAAAAAAAGTTGGTCTGTTTTGTGAATCTCTAGGTGATAGAAAAAGTTCCAGCAGACCAATATAGACATCTGTTGTAAAAACACATGATGATTTTTTTAAGATCCTTACTACTAAGTAGAATAAAAAAATTGTCCTGGTACAGCTAGATTTAACAATGAATTGGATCAGTATCACTTAAAACATCTTTGGGCAAGCAGATACATTACCTAGACTCCCAGGAGGGTTTAAGGTTTAGATATCCAATAGATCTTGTGAATCTAAGAGTAGTTTTAGGAACAAGTCTATATTTTAGACACCCATATGTTTAAGAATTTTATCAGTTGATGAAGATAATTGAAGCTATTCCTTTTTTTTAATTGTGAAAATACTGTACAGAGGGGTTACAATTACATGGGCAATATAATGAGTGCATTTCTTATTAAGTATTGTAGCCTCCTCCTTTGTTTCTCCTTCCCAAAAAGCTATTCTTATAGAAGCTGTAGGTAACACGAAATCTGGAGGAGCACAGTTTATGATGAGTGATAATAATAATTCAAGAGATTATACATGTTAAAGATATAATAATATGTGAATTAACAGAAGTAAAGGTGGAAGGAATGAGAGAAAGAAAAGAGAAGTTGCTAAGAACATTAGAGAAATGCTTAGAAATTAAGTATGAAGTTTAGTAATATTAGTAAATTAATGAGTTCATGGGACAAATGTAGCAAAATAAGATGTTAGTAATAGTAGAAACTAGGTGTGAGGGGCTGGGAAAGTGGCTCAGTGGTAGAGCACTTGCCTTGCATGCATGAGGCCCTGGGTTCAACTCCTCAGCACCACATAAGCAAAAAGAAAAAAGCCAGAAGTGGCGCTGTGGCTCAAGTGGTAGAGCGCTAGCCTTGAGCTGAAGAGCTGAGGGACAGCACCCAGGCCCAGAGTTCAGGCCCCACGACCAGACCCAAAAACAGAAAAAGAAAGAAAGAAACTAGGTGTGAGGTATAGAAACTCTGTACTATATGCAGCTTTTAAAATATTTATTGTCAAAGTGATGTACAGAGGGGTTACAGTTACATAAATAAGATAGTGAGTACATTTCTTGTCATGAAACTTTTCTTAATTCTTATTTTTATTGCAAAGGTGATGTGCAGAGGGGTTGCAATTACATTAGTCAGTTAATGAGTACATTTCTTTTTGAATAGTGTCACCTCTTCCCTGTTTTCTCTCATTCCAACTCCCCTCCCCCACAAGTTGTATATTTCATTTCCAACATTGAAAGTGGCCTAAGATTTTAGGTCCAATTGAGTTTGAAAATTACAATGCTCAAAAAAAAAATAGGGAGTTTTTGAAGGCAGTATTTTGGAAGTGTTGGCATTACAATGTAGAACTATTTGATAAGAATAGTACAACAGACTTGTAGAGAGCATTCCAAAGACTTCGATGAGTGGACGATCTGAGTAAGTCTTTATCTACCAAAGAACAAAATAAATAATAGAAGTTACCAAGTCCAGATGGGTTATTTAAGAAAAACTTATGCTAATTGTAATGGACAATTAGTAATAATTAGTAAATAGTCTATACTAATAGTTTATCATCTCTTCCAGAAGAGAGAAGCAGAAGGCATGCTTTCTAATTCATTCTGTAATACCTGTACCTTAATATTAAAACCAGACAAAAATAATATAATAACATAAAAATATAGGCTAGTATGTTTCATAAATATAGTTGCAAAACTCCTGAGTGAAATAGCAAAGTGAATCTTAGCAAAGTATAAAAATAATTATATACCATGGCTCAACATTTGAAAATTTATTAATATATTACTTTAGCAGGCCAAGGAGAAAATTAATGATCATATTACTAAATACAGAAAATGACTTACAAAATCATACATGTGGGCATGCATATACATACACACACAGACATACACATACAACCTCTCAGCAAATTAGGAACAGAAAGGAAATTCCTCAACTTAATAAAAACATCTACTAAAAACCTGTAAGTAATACAAAAACAATATTAGTGGTAGAAACTTTCCTATTATTAAAATAAAACTAAGAGTAGTATCAGGTAAGACTTTCCCTTGTCATCACTGCTGTTCCACATTCTAGTAGAAATTCTAGCTAAGGCAATAAGACAAGAAAGTAAATAAGTACAGACTGGGAGGAAATAAATAAAACTTTCCATTTGCTGATAACATGATTTTCTGAAAAATTCCAAAATAAATGGTGAAAAAGGAGAGATTAAGCAGTTATAACAAGGTTACAGAATACAAGGTTAGTGTAGAAAAACAAATGGAATCTGTAACACAATAAACTGCATTGCATTGTCATCCCTAAATTGAAATTCTTAGGTTCTAGTAGAATATGAGATGTATATGAGAGCAACTACAAAACTCTGGTGAAATATATATAATGTTAATAGAGAAGTATTTCAGGGTCCCAATCAGAGGAATCCAACATTGTCAAGATTCCAATTTTTTCCAACTTGATCAGTAGACTCAAATACAATCCTAATCAAAATCTCAGCTATTTACCTTGTTGTTATTAATAAACACCATATATTTAAAAGGCAAAAAAAAAACCCAACCCAATATTAAAGGTGAAAACAAAGCAAAGTACTTGACTTCAAGACTGACTATAAATAGCTATAGTAATCAAAACAGAATGATATTGCCAAAAGAAGAGACCAATAGATCAATGGGACAAAATGAGTTCACATAAATATAGTCAATGATCTTTGAAAATGGAACAAAGACGAATACAAGGAACAAAGTCAGACTTTTCAACAAAAAGTACTAAAGCAACTGGATATCCACATGACAATAGATGTGGCCTTTATCTTTCACTATACTAGCTCAAAATGGATTATAGTCTATAGAAAACCAAAATAATCTGGCACATAGCAATAACTTTATAGACACAATGAACAGCAAAGATACAATCTATGAAAGAATTCACAAAATGAACTTCACTAAAATTTAAAAGTTCCATGAAAGACAGTCAACAGATGAGAAGACAAGCTAATGGGAAAAAATATTTTCAAGAAATACATCTGACTAAAGCCTATTATACAAAATACATGAAAAAATACTTTAAACTCCACAATAGGACTACCAAAAAAGTAATTAAAAATGTAACAAGACCTGGACAGAAATTTCACTAAGGCAAATATAGATGGCAAGTAAGCCTATGAAATAATGTTCGTTCAACATGATGTCACAGGGGATTTTAAATTAAAACAAAAATGAGATGCACACCTACCAGAATAACCAAAATCTGAAACACTAACACCACCAATTCCTGACAAGGATGTGAAGCAACAGAGATTTTTATGTATACCTGGTGTGGGGATGTGTAATAGTAAAATCATTGGAAAGCAGTTGGGACAGGTTTTGGTGTGTATTTGTTTGTTTATAAACGTAAGCATACTCTTACCATATGATCAGCCTCCTAACATATGATCAGCCTCCATGCTTCATGATATTTACCCAAAGGAATTGAGAATTTGTTTCCATGCTTAAAAAAAAGCTGCATATGAATGTTTATGGCAGCTTTATTTATAAGTCCCTAAACTTTGAAGCAGCCAAGAAGGTGAATAGCTAAGTATAAATTAATACATCCTGATAATAAATAATTCAACAATTAAAAGAGAAGAATGATCAATCATGAAAGCACATGGAGGTACCGTAAATGGATACTGCCCTGTAAAAGAAGCCCATTAGAAAAAGCTAAACACCTTGTGATTCCATCCTGGAAAATACCAAAGTGTTAAGACAATAAAAGAATCAGTGTCAGGAGTTGGGGGAGGGGTTATCATACGTGAATAGGCAGAGCATCAAGGATGTGTTTAGAACAGTGAAATAATTCTATAAGTTACTTCAGTGGTGGCTGAATGTCATTATACATTTGTCAAAATTCATAATGTCATTTTTCAAATTAAGGAAGCGTTTTCCTTCATTTTGTATATGAACATTATGCTTACATAGATGATTGAGAAAGTGTCCCAAATTGTATTTTTTTAATCTGTTATTATTACATAATTTTAATCTTTTGCAGGTATGCAGTTTTGTGTGGATGTGTATCTGAGTTTGAAGGCTTACAAAACAAAATCAACTATGGACATCACTTCAAGGTATTTCTTGAAGGAAAAAAACTCTTGTTTCCATTTTCTGGAGTTCATTTTGATAAAATATTACATTATATGATCAGAGGCACTAAGACATTGAGCCTTTGCATTCCTCCCCTGAGAGAATTCTCTTTCAGTCTCACTGTGTGGAATCTCTAGTGTTCTGGTATGTTTTAGATCTAGCTTCCACATAGGAGAGAAAACACGTGCCATTTGTCTCTCTGAGCTTGGAAGTTAGTTCTTGATACTTAAAAATGTTTAAATTATGGAAGGTAAACTCTCCTATTCTTTTGTCATTTAAACAGAAGGAAATAAAATGGTACTCTTTTAAATAGTACTATGACAAAAAGAATCAAACTATTTAGGCGGTTAAATATTATTATCCCAGATCCTGATTTTAAAAAAAGAATTTAAACAGTAGATAAGAATTATTTATTTTTAAAGATTAAGGATTGACCTGTTAGTCATGAGCTCACCATCATCATAAATATGGCAGCAACTAGTCTGGAGCATGAATTTACTACAATGCATGAGCAAAATAAGTAATCCACATGCAAACCATTTGCTATTTGCCTTTAAGGATAGTTTAGTAAATAACCTCCTAGGATCAGTAATTGCAGGAAGGAGAAACAGTTCTTCCCTGGTTGCTGGCTTCCTGAGAACATTCTGGCAAGGCAAAAGGAATCTATTCCTTGCCCATATTGTTCTGTTATATTTTCTTTTGTTACATCCTACTCCATACTCCATGCCATTAGGAATCTGTATCCCTCTCTGGGCAAATCTAGTGAGCTCAGAGGCAAATATTCAGCCTGAATGTTTTCTCTTCTTATTGTAGCATTTGAGCTTTTGATTGCTTATTGCCTTTCTCACAGCCATAGTTTGGCTTCTCTTTGCAAGTGTCTTTGATCATTGAATTGTCACAAGTATTTAACTGTATTAATGGTAAGGATGGAGGAGGTTTCTAGGACAGTGAAAAACCACCTTAGAGTTCACTGGGTTTTAGAATGGAGTCATTCAGAAATATCTGAAACTTGAGAGTTGACATTTCCTTTTGCTGTTTTTTTTAGGAGCATCTAGATATGGCAATCGAACTTTTACCTGCAGAACCCTTTTTGTATTATCTCAAGGGAAGATACTGTTACACTGTAAGTTGAGTGTCTATGCTCATAAATCTTACTTGAATGCACTATGAGGATATGATACATTTTCAGTCATCTGCTCATTCTTTGATTTTTTTTTTACCTTGGTGCTTATTGGAGGGAGCATCACAAAATCAGTATAAATTTTTAATGCAACATACATGTTTTATCTTTCACTGTGAATTTATAATTTACATGTTATAATTTGTAATGTCTATTTTATAATACATAAGCTAGCACTTTATATATTGCACACAACCAAGAGGTTGCAGAATACTTTGTGTTCTCTCTGGTTGAGGTCAGGCATTCACACACTTGTATGTGTGAGTACATTCATAGTTCTGTGGGAAGGCTACTTTTCATCCCACAGGGATTACAGAACAAAAATATGTACTAATTTAGTGTCAGAAGTTGATTCAGTGTTATACACACAAAATATGTTCAAGTGTATATGTGTGTATGTGTGTGTGTGTGTGTTGTTCCTTCTTTAAGGACTCTAATCTAGAAGAGATATGAGACATACTGAAGTAGTTTGATACAAGTACCAGTCATGCTAAGACCCAGTGTCTTAAGAATTTTATTAGTTTACAGAGGAGTAATAGAAAGCAAAAATATTCTGAATGTAACAAAGTTTGAAAATGTCAAAAAAAAGTTGCCACAACAGGAAAATGCTATTTTAAATATGGAAAGTAGGCTGAGAAAAAACAGTAACCTTTTCATTAAGGTCAATCATCTCTATGTCTATCTCTGTATCTCTATCTTCCATGCTAAGGATCACATCCAGGGCTTCTTGCCTGCTAGACGAGTCCTCTATCACTGACCCCTGAAAGAGAATTATGGGGGGAAGGTTGCTTTTATTGAACAGCTTTAGTATGCTACATATGCATTTTATGCTTTATATTCATTGTTGCATTGAATCCTTCAAGCAGTTCCAGTTTTAAAAGAATAAGAAACTAAACCAGGCGCTGGTAGCTTACGCCTGTAATTCTAGCTACTCAGGAGGCTGAGATCTGAGGACCATGGTTCAAAACAGGCCCGGGCAGGAAAGTCCATGAGACTCTTATCTGCAATTAACCACCAAAAAACCAGAAGTGGTGCTGTAGCTCAAGAGCACTTGCCTTGAGCTGAAGAGGTCAGGGACATAGCTAGGCCCAGAGTTCAAGCCCCACGTCCAACCAAAATAAATAAATAGATAAATAAAATTAAGAAACTAACTCCTGGGGCTGGAAATGTGGCTTAGTGGTAGAGTGCTTGCCTAGCATTCATGAAGCCCTGAGTTCAATCCCTCAGTACCACATACACAGAAAAAGCCAGAAGTGACACTGTGGCTCAAGTGGTAGAGTGCTAGCCTTGAGCAAAAGAAGCTCAGGGACAGTGCCCAGGCCCTGAGTTCAAGCCCCAGGAGTGGCAGAAAAAAAACAAACAACAACAACAAGAAACTAACTCTTCATGTTCATAAACGAAGTAGTTTATGAAAGAGCCAGTGGTGGAATTCAAGTTTAATTCAAAATTCATGCTTTTCATATACTGCCACATAGGAAAGAAGCTTACATTTTGATAAGGAAAAGAAGAAAGATAAATAAATTTTCCCCATTTTTTGTCCTAGATAGGAGATTGCAAAGTCAAATAATGGAATTATTATAGCAGTCACATTTTAGTTATCTATTTAATGTTATAAAATATACATTGATCTCTCTCTCTCTCTCTCTCTCTGAAATAGTGAACTGTTAACTATACCATTTGTTGTTTTAAAAAAATTATAATACCTCCCAACAACTCCTACTTTTTCATGCTATTTACTTTCTTTTGAAGCTGAGTTATCTGGAAGAGGTTACATGGAGAGGTCCATGTTTTACACCTCTTGGTGTGCTCAGCAGCAAGCCCAGATCTTCCCACTTAAGATAAGCATCTCTTCATTATACTCATAAATTGATATGTTGAATTGAAACCCCTTTGTACAACTATTTAAGGATAATAAAAGAATTAATAATTTTTTGACTTTATTTTTATTTGTTATTGTGAGGGTGATATGTAGAGGATTTAAAATTATGTAACTCAGGTAATAACTAATTTGTTTTTGAACAGTGTCATCCCCTCCCTCATTTTCTCCCAGTTTTTTTTCCTCCCAACCCCCCAGGTCCCTAAGTTGTATAGTTCATTTCCAACCTAGTGTCTAGTGAGTATCACTACTGAATTAGTTCACCCTTTGTGTTCACCATTTCTGTGCTTCCCCTTAAAAAATTTTTAAATAGGTATCTTTATACCAAGTTGTTGCTTGAATGGCTGAGTAATTGAAAAAGAAAACTTTTAGAAAATGAAGAATATACAAGCAGTATAATAATAGTTAACTCAGTCAAGAATAGTCAGTTATGCAAGAAATAAGCCAACAGGAACAAATGGACAAATAGAACAGAAATAAACCTAAAAGACTTTCAGGCAGAATATTGAACAGCTTTGTATAATGTATTTTATTAAATAAAAGATATTAAGGTGAAATGGGTGATAACCATGAACAAAATTTAAAGCTGTTCTCTGAAAATAACCTATTGGTTTATAGTTTTGAAAATAACCTATTAGTTTATAGTTTTGAAACAAGTGAAACTGTAACTCACCACAGGACTTGATAGAGCTTTTATCTTTTATTCCAGGATATCAGTTTTTATAACATTTACAGTAGTTTGTCTCTTACTGACTATAGCCACAAAATTTAATCAAAAGGGAATAAACTGGAACTTGTCTCTACTGCATATGTTTGAAGTTTTAGTTAAATCATTTCACAAAAAAAGTCTGTGAGTGTGTAAGGTAAGCATATGAAAAGCCATTCAACATATTTTGTACAACTAAACACATAAAACCACAGGGAGGAATCACTTTATACACACTAAAATGGCTCAAATGAAAAAGACAATACCAAGGATATTTGAGCTCTCAAATTGAGTGATGATGATACAAGAAATGAAAATATAGCTGCATACATAGACTAACACCTAAGGGGTCACAAAAGCTTAAGCAGACTCACAATACAGATGAAACATCAAAGCATTATGCCAAGAAGACACAAAGCTTAAGTGTATAATGGCATTGATGTGAAACTCTAGGAAAGGTAGGCTATGGTAACACATCAGTAATTGCCTGGCAGTAATAACAGGATGAGCACACTACCTGCAAGGGAGAAGGTATGAACCTTGGGGATGATACCAACGTACTCTATTGGTTGTTGTGGGATGATACCAACGTACTCTATTGGTTGGTGTGGGATGATACCAACGTACTCTATTGGTTGTTGTGGGATGATACCAACGTACTCTATTGGTTGCTGTGGGATGATACCAACGTACTCTATTGGTTGTTGTGGTAGTTTGAAATTGTGTACATTTATAAAAACTCATAACAGGAGGGGGGACCAAGATGGCGACGGGGCAGTAGGGAAACGCCACAGCTCTCTCCAACCAAAAAGAGAGTTCGAGTTCCAACGTTTAATCTCCCCAAGAGACCGACAACAACAAAAAGACGAACACTCAGAGAAAAACCAGAGGTGGAAAATAACAAAAAAAAGAAAGAGAGGAAAAGAAGAATTTCAGAACAGAGAAGAGCGAAGACCCCTCCCCCAACCTTTACTGGCCGCGCGGCAGTGCGCCAAGCCGCCGGCCAGCCGGCCCGGCGGGGGCTGCCGGAGCCACAGAGACACAGGGGGCTGCTTGCAGATCACCAGGTACCGGATTGCAGAACAGCGGATCGCCAGGAACAGAGAAACCTACCAGCCGGGAGTCTCCAGGAGGATCCCACCTCACCCATCACTCTCCACCGGAGCGGAGAGGCTCCATCCCGCCAAAGCCGCCCGGCACCAGCAGCGCCACAAAGGGACCTGTCTGCAGACCCACCCGCCCAATCGCGATCGCAACGACCCGGCGGGGGGCCGCCCAACCCAGCCCGCAACCACCCCAACTGAACTCGGACTGCAACAACAACTGACGGACTGCAACAACAACTGACGACCTACAGGGTGAGTACCCATCAGGGGACAGGGAATCCATCAAGGGAGACCAGAGCTGGAGGGAATCCCCAGACCCTGACCTAGACTCCCTACCCCAACACCCGGACCACAGGACCCACTAAAACTGGGAACTGTTCGAGAGCTCCACCAGCCGGTAGAGCACACTCTGCTGGCCAGGCCAGAGCAAGAGCGCCCTTGGAAGGGAACTTAAATGCTCAAGCCAGGAACAGTGCCCCTGGGTCAAGACTACCAACAGTAGAAGAAATTTGAACTGTGTCCTCCAGGCTGCATAACCAAGGTGGTATACACATTAGCACAGGCCTAACGAGCGCGCTCCAGGCTGGGGCCGGACCCAGGCCAGGGGACCGGCGCCTGAACAAAGCAAAAAGGGTCAGAAGTGGGGCTGTGGCTCAAATGGTAGGGTGCCAGCCCTGAGCTGAAGAGCTGAGGGACAGCACCCAAACCTAGAGTTCAAGCCCACAACCAGCCCAAAACAAACAAACAAAAACACATCAGGAGCCCATAGCAGACTCCAGTATTTGGGAGAGTGCATCCAGAGCATCTGATCTTCCCAAGAGCACCCGCAGGAGCAAACACAAGCAGTCCAGGCTGCTCAACTCTTCCAAAGGCGGGAATTGCTACAGCAGAGAGCTGAGAATCCTAAGTGAATAGCAGCTGGAAATAGGCTCCCAACAGAATCCAGATCAGGCACAGACTCTCTCTACCAATACAGAATCAGCAACCAAGCAAAGACAGACACACCAAAACAAGATTGAAGAGCAGTCTCCTGAACCCCCATGCGAAAATCACAGAGAAAAATCACAAGGTTTACCACTACCCAGGACAGCAAGCTCACCTCAAAACCCAGCAGCCACGCAGGGGAGAGCCCCAGTGGGAGCAAAGCAGGAATGGAAGACAAAAACTACATCCAAGGGTTGCTGGAGGCAATGACTCAAGAAATAAAGCGAGAAATGGATCAGAAATTGAAAGAGCACAAGGATGAACTATCAAA